GTTTGTTTTTGTTTTTGTTTTTTAGATTCCACATATGAGCGATCTCATATAGTATTTTTCTTTCTCTTTCTGGCTTACTTCACTTAGAATGACATTCTTGAAGATGTGGTATATTTATACAATGAAATACTACTCAGCCATAAAAACTGACAACATAATGCCATTTGCAGCAACATGGATGCTCCTTGTTTATCTATTTTATATATAGACGTTAGTATCTGCAAATCTCCAAATCCCAATTTATCTGTTCCAACCTCCTTTCCCCCTGGTGACCATAAGTTTGTTTTCTATGTCTGTGAGTCCCTTTCTGTTTTGGAAAGAAGTTCATTTGTGTCTTTTTTTTTTTTTAAGATTCCACATATAAGCAATATCTTGTGGTATTTTTCTTTCTCTCTCTGGCTTACTTCACTAAGAATGACGATCTCCAGGTCCATCCATGTTGCTGCAAATGGCATTATTTTATTACTTTTTATGGCTGAGTAGCATTCCATTATATAAATATACCACAGCTTCTTTATCCAGTCTTCTGTCAATGGACATTTAAGTTGTTTCCATGTCTTGGCTATTGTATATAATACTAAGCAGTCATTTCTTGTTTCAAAAGTTTTCCCAGTCCACTTCTCAGAGATTGGGGTTTGAATCCAGAGAGCTATAGCAGCCTTTCCTTAGGACAGAGCAGTTAGTCCCCCCTTGTCTGATTTATTAGTCCCTTTTCATCATGTTTTAACAAAATCTTTTAGAATAGCTTGTATCTCTTGGCAGATGAAATTTTTTCTCTTTTTTTTTCTTTCTTTCCTTCTCTGTTTTTAAATTCTTTTAACATTTTTATTGAGTTATAGTCATTTTACAATGTTGTGTCAAATTCCAGTGTAGATAAAATTTTTGTCTTCTATCTGTCCCCAATTTTTTATCCTTACAGTATTTACCAGAGAAGCTTCTGACAGTCCTAAGTGGCCCTGTCCATAGATAGAAGCCTGTCTCTCTAGGTGTCCCAGTTGACCTCTGAGGTGCCTGGATCAACTTCCAGAAGAGTAGCAGTGACCTTATCAGTATTTTTGAGTCTCTAGATTTTGAACATAAGACCCTAGGAATGCTGGTATACAACAGTGCTCATAAGGTATTTTATACACTGAATCAGTTGAATGACATCCTTGGGGGTTCTTAGGTGAGGCAGGGATAAAGTGTGCCCTCCCCTTTTCCTTTTTCATTATATGTGTTCCACTTGTCTCCAAGGGTGACAAATACCATTGTACCCTACTGGGTCAGGATGCAAACTGCAAGAGCAGCAAGGCATGCAGCAATGCAAGAATTTTTTGTCCAGAATGACACCTTTTTGGGGGTGCCATGTCATAGTCCCTGAGGTGAATGTCTTCACACTTACTCTGTGTGTCCCTCACAACACACAAGAACCTCTGAAGAGCATTCTTCTTCCACTCAACAGGTCAGGCTGAAATGAATAGGAAAATAGCAATCCAATTTGCCCTACCACTTGTCATTGTTGTCTGGTCGACTGATGAGGCCTGTCCCACAGTACTCGGAGGGAAGTCACACCTCACTTCCTTCAGAGGAGCCTTTCATAAGCTTAGCTAATCAATATAAAGGGGTTACTTCAGGAGCACTGTCCAAGTATCCAGGCAATTGACTAAGCTCATACCAGAACTTGGGAAGGACTCAGTTTTTGAATTCCAAATTTACGCTGGGAACTCATGGCAACACCCAATAAATGGAACAGCAGTCATGGCCATAACACAAGAACATGCTAGCAGGCAGAGACACTGTCCCAAGCAGTCTGGTAGTACCAGTAAGTCAAGAACTGTCTAATGGCATATCATTCCAGTCTGAGGCCAAGTCACTCTGATCACTGTGCCAATTGTCTTAATATAGGTTTTATTATTTAGGTATGATAAGGGCAACAGATCAGGAGATGACTGCCAGTGAAAAGATAGTTCTTTATACTTACAGATTCCAAGAGGAGGGGGCACCCTTGCCGTGGAAGTCCACACAAAGAAGCAGGAGGGTGGGTCAGAAGGCAGAAGTGAAGGGGGAAGCTAGGCAAGAGCCCTCATTGTGGTTTCCTTGGGAAGAAACACACTAGGCAGGGTACACAGGTTTAGGATTGGCTAATATGTGTAATTTTAGCAGGCTCTGGGGCCTAGGAGCTGTCCCTAGTTGTATGGTACCTAGCCCTGGGTTGATTAAGGCAGATAGGTAGTGGCCCAGAGTGTGAGAGCCTGATAAAAGAGGTGGTTGAGTGTGGGCTCCAAATTGGTTGGTTTGTGTATAAAAGGCTTGCTCATGGGTGAGCTGCATACTGTAGCTAGGAATTGGCTAACATTGTAAGGGGCAGTTCCTCCAGGGTCAGCAAGGCCCCACATGTCAAAGCATCAGAATACAGAAGATAGAAGACATGGTTAATGCAGTGAGTTATATATCAATTTAAAAAAAAAGACTTCTCACAGCCTTTAATAGACTCCTGTATATTATGAAGTTGTAAGACAGAATATATATTATTTTCCAATTACTAGCCATGGAATCTTGTGTGTGTGTGTGTGTGTGCGTGTGTGTGTGTGTGTGTGTGTGTGTTGGAGCCATTGATGAGACTTGGGTTCTAGAAAATACACTTTGGGAAACACTAGACTAGAATAATCTGTCCCCTGAAGAAAAAAATTATTTTGCGGATTCCTTTTATTCCTCAATGGATTTGGAGGAATCTGAGCATGTTTATAGTGTCTATTTTAGTATTATACTAGACTTACAGATCTAGGATAGAATGTTTCAAAAACAAGACAAGGAAATTAAAAGTGTTAATGTATTGCAATGACTGTATCTATTTCTGGATAGTGAAGGAGTTCACAGTCTGATTTTCAAAATTATTTAACAATTTAATCACATGTGATTTTACTATATTATGTAATATTTAGAATTTGAATTTTCTTTCAGATTGTTTCCGTGAGTCCAACCTTCCAATACAGACGTGCTCAAGACGTCTCTGATGAGTTCATCTACTTTCGTCCAATTGACGCAGAAGTTCGGGAAGAGGCCAGAAAACAAAAACATCAGAAATCAACCAGGGCCTCTCATCGACACACCAGAGAAGGTATCCATCAGAGGGACTTGGGGACTATAAGTCAGGTGGTGATGGTGACCACTCTCCTACTAACTAAACAATTAGAGAGCATTGCCCTTATAAGACCAAAAACTTCAGGGCTTCTTCACCTAGAGAAAATGTCAGTTAAATCTCCAAGGGTCCCAGAATCTCAGCTCTTAGAAGTTACAGGAATTGCCAGTCCAGAGGAAAGGGGGAAAGGCGCCGCAATACTTGTTGCTGGTGTGCCTGGACATGAGGAGCTAGATGATACAGAAATTCCAGTTTTGAAATTTACTGAGCTTGTACATCTGGAGTCTTTAATAAATAAATGTTCACCATCCTCAGAACACAGTTGCCCACAAACCCCAAGAAATCTGTGGCTGGAATCTCCAGAAAATGCAGAGTCCCAAGGAAGTGATGACTTGGATATAGCAAGAAGCATGTATCCTTTTAGAGAAAGACCCATCCTCCGGCGTTCCTGGGAAGAGCTCTTAGAGGCACCACTGAACAGTGAAGGACTCCACATACTCCAAACTACTCCTATAGAAGAGAGAGAGATTGACTACCTCCAGCTGCCACCAGAGGAGGAGAATCAAGCAACCACTTCGCTGAGGGCTCACCATCTCCAAGCTTTGCAAGGACCTTTCCCACTGCTTCCTCAGCATCTGAAGCTCCAGAGGCAGCGTAGTCACAGCTTGCCACAATACAGTGATGTCAGAAGCCGAAGACTAAATGCACCTGAGTTAACATTAAACCCAGAGGAGACATGGTTCTTCTTCCCAAGTGATCATACTTTGCTTCCAGGAGGTAAGATTTTTGAACTTGCTAAGACTGCTTTTATAAATTACAGATAATTTTTAGGACAAATAGAATTTCATCAGTGAATTTATTTTCAAACTCACCACCTGGAAATCTATTTCTTTCAATAAAACATTAACTTATTCTAAGAAAATTGGATACCATCCTATAATTTGAAGCTTTATATTTGGTGCTTACAGTCTGTCTTTATGTTATACAAATTCAGTCAGACACTGGTAATAATCATGTGAAAATATATCCTTAACATATACAGACTGTTTACAACTTCAGAACTTTTAAATAAATATTCTCTGAAAACAACTTCCAGCTAAGTGGGTGATCTTGAGAAAATGACATTGTATCACAGTTTTGGACCCACAGAATAGAACATTTTACCCCCAGAACACCCATCACCAAGTAACTAAATAATAGAAGCTTAGATTAGAAAATGAATGGGAGAATGGACCTGATCCTGCTGGTTAGAAAAAGCAGGAGGAGGGGAGAAAGGGGGAGGGAGATGAGACTCTCTCCATTTCCTCCTGTATGAGTGCACCCTAGTGGCTAGAAAATATTGGCAAATGAATAATTAATGTTACAGCCTATACCTGCTTAAAAACAATATTAATAGAAGTATTTAGAATGTATTTTATAGTGTGTTTATCATGTATTTTAAATCCTAGACTGATATTTGCTATTAACTGTAAGGTGACATTTTTGTTTTTATCATTAAAGCTATTTAAACATGTACAACAATGCCACTAGGGATATCATATAGAATTAGGAATTTTTTATTTAACTCATGTTAGTAGCCGGCCCCTATAATTTCCTAAGAATACTGTCATCTATTAGAAACCTTTTGTAGATGTAGCCCCACCAAGTATCAAAGGTAGCTCAAAATAAGTATCTGTAATCTAGCCCAGAATTTGGAAATCATAATATGACCATTACATATTTTATTTCTTTTTCTATGCATATTTAGGGCTCTGAGATGTTCTTCATAAGCAACTGAAATCCAAATAAAACCCAAAGCGGGCTGAGATCACTCCATCTTTGAAATGTTCATACAATTTGCTCAACCCCAATCTCACATCCAATCCCCTCCTCAAGGTTGCTGCAAATTCTTGGGTGCTTCCATTCTCATGGTTACCTCTCTCTGATTTCATGTTACCACTGAATTCTTAATCTCATTATTTTCTCATACTACAAAAGCAATAAAATTGAATACTAAATATCTGTTCCTAAAAGTCCTTCAGCCACCCACCACTGTAATTTCTCATTGGCTAACATTCTTCTGTAGTCCCCTTCCCATTACAATATTACTTTGCCTCTCTCTTCCTCTCTTTCCTCTCGCTTCTCTATTTTCCAGTACCTCAAATTCCTCATTGTGTGGGACTATTTAGCCAGATTTTTGTTTTTCTCTGTATATCTTTACACCTCAAACAGCTTATCAAGATATCAAGAGGTTACATACTGTGGCACTATTACCATATAATTTTAAATCATTAAAGTGATTGGACTGGGATCAAATGTGGACATATTAGTCAGTCATTCTTATTCATAGAATCTTTTTATTGAAATGAAAGTCAATCTTCAATCATTTAAAAATAACTTTTGATTTTGTGTTTTAGAAAATGCAAAGGAAAGTGACAGCATTGAAGAGGTTTGGCAGAAGACCATTTTGTCAACTTCGGGTGAACATCCTCCTATCGATCCAAGTTTTGAGAAGTCTTCTGCAATGAGGGATAAAATTGGAATTCCTGGAGATAATACTAGACTTCCCAGGGGCAATGTTAGAGTTTCCAGGAATAATGTCATCATCCCCCAGGTTAATGTTGGAGTTCCCATGGGTAATGTTGGGGTTTCCATGAATAATGCTAGGATTCCCATGGATAATACTGCAGTTACTTTGGATAATTCTAGAGTTCCCAGGGGCAGTGGTGGTGTTCCCATGTGTAATCCTGAAGTTCCTAGAGGCAATGATGGACTTCCCAGGGGCAGTGGTGTTGGAATTCCCATGGGTAGTGTTGAAACTCTCAGGAATAATGCTGGAACATCCAGACGTATTGTAGCCTCTCCACTTACTGAGCTCTCAAAGATAGGTGAACACCGGGTATAAAAACTGACACTTTACAAAGCAGTCCTGATATTTAAAGGAATACACCAAGACACTAAACATCAAAATGGCAGTATCAAATGTTACGATCTAAAATAGGAAATGAAAAATCTAAATTTGAAATGTATAAATGAACATACAAATATATTTATTATGGATGTCTTTTATCAGAATTTTTGGAACTAGATTGGAGTCTACTTACTAGTTTATTCTGAATGACAACCCTTTATTAACCTGTGGAATAATCTAGTTGGAGGGGATGAGTTGTGGAGGAGTAAGACATTTACTTCATCAAGCCTAGATTTCTATTTAATAAAGAGATACAATGTCTTTGTCTATCACTAAACAAAGTAACAACTAATCTCCAAATGATATTGTACATCTCATAGTTACCAAAACGTCAGGTTTTCTTGGACATTTTGATGAGCAAATGAAAGTGATCTCATAGTTATCAAGTTTTCTGGATGAGTCCAGCTTAATGTCCAAGAAATTTATTTACTAAAAGTTAGGGAACAAGAAAATTCAGCAGAAGATTTTTGAATGCAATGCTTTTCTGAGATGTCTAGATAGGACCTATGAAGAAAGCCCACTAACAAGAGTATTTAAACATACATATTTATTTCTTGTGACACATATCTGTAAATGTGACAAAACTGTAAATATTTACTGGAAGCCTTAAAAATACAAGGAGACAAACTGTAGAACTGTAAATAGAATACATGGTTGTGATGTAAATACTATGGTAAGACAACACTAACAGCACCACAGGATGCCTAAAATATTGCATGCTAGAACAATATTTTTCTTTAGGAAATTAATTTTGTTTATTCGTCCCAACTACTAAATTAGTTTGACATAAAAATGCAGGATAGAAGGGACAATTATTGAAATATTTTACTAAATTACTGAATAAGATGCCTTTTTCAGAAAAAAAAAGAGGACCAATTTTAATTGTTCCAGATGGTTAGTATAGTATTCAAATCACACAATCGTAGTTATCTATAAAATTGGGTTTTCAAAAACATTTATTTCACAGATCTCTGAAGATAGATAAGGTAATGAGGCTCACTCCATAAACTACATGGGAATCTCATTACTTTCTGTTCATACATAACATAAATTGTGTCCAAAGTTTTAGGGCATATGGGCCAGCACTCAATTTGTATATTTTAATTTTCAAATTTCCTGAATAATGGTAGCTGTTGTTTTTACAAAACTAAGGGTAATTTAAATTATGGGTACCACCTAACCCCGTATTGTGTGCCTTACCACATAGTGCAAGGGGTGGTAGTCTGTGTTCTGAGGGAAAACTCTTGCCTACTCACAGGTTTTATTTGGCATTTGAGGAAGGAGGTAAAGAGGCTGGCTAGCCTCCCTCTTTCACTCTCTGCCGGTTCAGTTGGGTTAATGAACCACGGCCTTGGCCTCAGAAGAAAAGGAAAAGTAGTGAGATTTCTTTCTCCTACTTCTTCCAGCCCAGAAACTGGAGTACCATTTCAGACTTGAGTAACCTGAATCTTGTATGGGGTGGCCAAACCACAGAAGTAATGGAAGCATACAAGCTGCCATACTTCAGTTACTGCCAACCTGACAGAAAAAAACAAACTGACAGTTCACCTTGTTTAACTGATAGTCTACTCTATATGCTCTCTTGTAACACTGACTTTGTGAAACAGAACTATTGCATTTCGACCTTCGAAGGGAACCCACCTTGCAAGTGCAAAAAGAGTAAGGTGGAAAATTTTGAGATGAAGTACTAAGAACTAGCATTTACCAAACAGCAAGTGAAAAGAAAGACAGCAAACACAATTATATTCAACTGTGTATAACACTGATACACAACTAAAGATGGTCACTAAAACAAACCAAAACACCACCATACCACCATCAAGAATAACATAAAAAATACCTGCTATGTGAGTGTTAGTCTTCTTGCTTATGACCCATATAATTTTGGATATTGTGGTTAGTGTCTTAACATTTAAATATAAAAAGTATATGTAAAATGGCCAACTGCTTCTTCTTTGTAAAATTTTAAAAATTGAATAAAACTAAATTAGGATGGATTAAGAAAATAATCATCAATCTTGTAAAGAAAGTTACTTGTATTGGTTTTATTCTGTTAAATATTGTTAGTTCAGAAGTAAGAAATGCAAAAGTTTCAGTGGCACATTGTTATCTATCTTCAAAGATTGTGCCTTGTCTTAAGGTTGTATATATCAAGTAAATCATATAAAGTCATTCAATAATCATCATAATGCTACAGAAAAGAGAGTAAAAAGCATGCAATATATTGAATAAGAAAACTTCACCACAAATTTCACACAAACTGGACTTGAAGTTTTCAGGGAAAAAAGGTAAAATTGCAAATCTAAATGCACAGTGTTGAAGAAAGAAAACGATAAGCCATTTCTAACTCTCTTGCACTTGCCAAATGAGAGACAGATTAAATTTATATATATAATTCTATATGTTAATATATCTCCTGTAAAATAAGAACAAAATTACTTGTTAAAATCGATGACAGCATAAAATGAGAGAAAGAACTCTAAAATTTTCCTGCATATTATACTATACAAGAAAGAACAGTTGATTAAAAATATAATATATAGTTTAACAATCTTAATTAGCCATATAATTTCCTCTCAAGGTTCTAGAAAATTGTGAAGTGTGCTCTTCTCAGTGTGAGTAGGAGATTAATTTTTCTAACTTTACAGATTTTTTTTACATCCAATCCCCTAATTAGAGAATTATATCAAATTGATTTTCATTCTTAAACTGCATAATGTGCATTAAGACAAGTTTAAATGATTTTTAATTCACAAATATTACTTAGCAATTCTGATTTGAAAAATCCCAAAATTTCACTTATCTCTGCTTAAATCTTTAAAAATTAACCAAATGAAAAGATATTTTAAACAGTTAATAGGATGGAGCAAAGAGAAAATTATGACAAAAACACCCCTCTAAGAATGAACGAAAGTATGGTATTCAAATCACATAACTGTCACTTTCATTTCAGTTAACATGGTGTTAGAAAAATATTTTCAAAGCACTTAATTGAATTCAAAATATCTTTGAAGGATTCTGAGTACAGAAACCATTCAATTATAATCGGTACCTTAGACCAAAGGGACTTCAACAGTTTCTAAAATGTCTCTTTTTCATAAATCTTTGGAATGATCCATTATTAAAAGTTTTAATATCCTTAATTTACTCTTTACTGGATAGTAACAATAAATTTAAAAATCATATAAAGTAAAACTGTTCATTTTTATATTGATTTGACCTTTTTTTCAGTATTTAAAATTGAAGTTTACCAAAGGTGAGACATAGTATATAAGAAAATTACTGCTGTCCAACTAACAAAGCACTGTGATCACTTTGGGTGAAAAAATGAGCTGATTGAGAAATAAAATAACTTTTGTATTAAGAACAATCTAAGAAAATTGAATTTCGACTAACAATTAAAAATCATCTTGAATTCTAAATTGAAGCCAAATTGTGTCCATAATTAAAAAGTAAAATGAAAACTTGAGGTTTTGTATATGTAGTGAAACTTTATTTCAGAAAACCACAGTATCAAGAGCCATTATAATATTAAAACATGCAACTATAGAAAAAAATTAACCAAAAGAAAAACCATGCAAGGGAATTGTTTTTGATGATTAATATAATAGTAAATGAATGTACAATGGTATCTATAGTTAAGAATGAAGCATATATAGACAGTATGCATATTTATTCTAAAATCCATTAACTAGTAAGATTACTTCATTAATTGCATGTGATATTTCTATCTAGTGATTATATTTTAAGTGTCTTAAAAGTGAAAACTCAAAATATAGCAAAGTGCTTTTAATAGGTCATCAGGTGTAAAGTACATGTGCCTTTTACATATTTCAAGAGTAGAGATCCTCACTGAAGTGAGTGACAATCTAGTAGAAAGTGAGAGAAAGAAAGAAGAGAAAAACAAAAAATTAGAATAAAACTGTAGCTTTTTAAGTAATTGATGTTTTCTTAAAATATTATTTTAAAGGTAATTTTTTTCTCTTTTGAAAGTTATTTTCGTATTAACATGGACGAATAAACCTTAAAATAATTCAACTTTATCACTTATATCTTTAAATTTTATACTACCCCCTAGTCCCCTAATTCTCACTCCTTATACCTGTTCCTCATTCCAAACCTTATTCAAATCCATTCTTCACTTTATCCCATCCCCCCTTTACCCCATCCTTGACCTCTTCTCCATACCCATAATACCTTGCTCCCACTTCATCCCTCCCTTGCCCTTACTGGATCCTACCTCATTCTGGATATCTTATCCTCTTATCCTCATCCCAATTCCCACTTTTTTTCTTCCCATCCCATTCTAAATTCACATCCTATCCCTGATCTCCACCCCATTATGTACAGCACCCCATTCCCTATCATCATCCTTTCCCTCAGCCTATTCCTGAGCCCCAATCCAATCCTAACTCCACCTTTTGATCTCACCCATCCCAAGCTTCACCCCATATTGGACCTCTCAGCTTCACCCTAACACTAATCTTAAACTATCCTTCAATCTTGAACGTCAGAGAAAAGGATAGAATAAAGACTAGTGTAAGGACCATGAATGAATTAAAGATGTTTATTTCATGCCTTTACTGATTTATTAAAATAAAACCTGAAAGTTGGATTTTTTTTCCAGATTATGCCAAGATATCCCAAATTATGATATCAAAGCAGCTAAGTCAAAGTGCAAAGGTCTGAACACCATGTACCCCCTAAAGTCATCCTTAATAGGGAAAATAGACTAACTTGTGCAAGGCTTTCAAAGATTATAAAAACATATAAACGTCATTTCAAACCCTTTTCTGTTTTGTTTTTAAATTTTAATTTTTAAATGACTTCCAAAAGATTAGAATGGTTTTTTCTTCTTTCGTATTATTATAAGATACCTCTCACCTAAAGAAATACTCACTTTAGGCTCTTCAAGTAAATGAAAAGATATACATCACCAATTTCTTAATATTAATTGTAAAATAAGTTGATGAAAAAAGATAAACTATGCACTTTGTGAATTTACCTAAAGTGTATTTTTGCTATTGAAAAGTAATATTTTGAAAGTTTATTTTTAAAATGGACGCATCTCTAATGAATTTCATTATCTTATACAACTAGTATCCATCTAGAAACCAAGTTCTCTATTCTTATACATATATTATAATAAAATTAAAAGATCATCTTCAAAATAAAATTCACTTTAAAAATGCAGAGACATTCAAAACCAGTTAGTATATAATACTAAACAGTGTTAGAACTATCAACAATTAATATTACCAATTTGTTCCCCAGAGCCCAAGAATCTTGAAGATATTAACTAATTTTCATAATTCCTACAGAAGTACATCTAGTCATTTGAAAATAAATACACACAAATTTGGTAATTTTAAAGTTGCCGAATTATAATGACCAAAGTTTATTCCTTAAAACTAACATTTCAGTACTGTGTAATAAGAGTTAATGCTAATACATGTGCAGTACTTGAAGAAATTCAACAGTCTATGAAGAAGAAAAATTAATTTTAAGGAAAAGTATTAGTGATTTTAAAATACCCTTTATTGTCAAAATTTGGTAATAACACCTCTACACATTACACCTTCTCAAACCTTTAACCCATCAAGCTCTCAAACCAAGTGTTTCAGTTTGTTGTGACTATGTCCAGTACATTCAAGTAGGTAACTCCATATTTCTCTTTTGCTATATTTATCACCAGTGATTAGAGAACAACTCTGTCTCAATTTTGGGGGAAAAAACAGCTCCAACAAAATCAGTGAGAGCTGGTGCAATGCTAATGATTTTAGCATTCATTATGAATTAAAATTTTCCACCTTTTGAAAATGAAGCACTTGACTTGGTTTTATTTTCAAAGAAAGGGAAGACAGTACAGTACGCTGGTATCATGAAATATTTTCCATTTTACACTAATGCTGTATCACATTTTTCAAAATGTATATTGTCATTAACTGCTGGCCATTGTTGAATTCTATCTCATTTATTAAGTATTTATTGTGATATGTTCAAATAGTGTACCATTAAAGGTGATATTTTAATGTATATGTGACATGTGTATCTTGGCCTGTATTGTATCTTTAAATAAAGTGTGGTGTAGGTTGATGTGATGCACTTATTTATTCAGGGGTTGAATTATCACAGCACTAGACTTTAGAACTGCTAGTGCTACGTATTTGAGATTATCCTAAGGTTGCAAAGCTCTCAACAAATATTTTAATATCTTACTAATTTAAGATTCTAATAAAGAATATTACAGAGGGGCTATGATCATTAAAAAACTAAACCACCAGATTAATCTTATTTCTGGAGCAAAATGCATCAGACATTCAGTAGGACTTTTTTCAAAAACAGACAAAACCAAAATTATTTTTGTACTTGCTGATTCAGCTGCTGTTTCTAGTCCATGGTCTTTTGTCCATGAGTAGTGCCAATGTAGACATTTTCATTTTTGGATCTTTCTCTGTGAGTGTATATGTGTAGGTTTGCGTGTGCACACAAGTGTGAGTGACAGAGAAACGAGGACATTTTGGGGAAAATGTGTAAACCATTATTTGCATTTAGGTTTAATCATTGGCAGTTTTGACACCACAATGCACATTTTCTTAACCACTCTAAAATTATTATTTTATATTTTGCTAGAAAATAATTATCCCAAAATTGACTATTCAACTTCTAATACCACTTCATCTACATCCATAATATAAATTTGTGGTTCTTAATCTTTGACCTGATAAGTTGGCAAGCCAGGGAATAGATATTTCAAATGTTGACTTTGGTGTCCTAATGAATTCTGAATAAAAGTAGAAGGTACAGCTAACCTCCAGACTTATATATAGAAAATTGCGATGGGTTCTATGTGTTTCACGTGTTTCGTTTATACACAAAATCTCATGAAAAGTTCAATTTTTCTTTTTTTTAGATAGTGGACGCCTCACTCAAATACAAACTTGATTAGAAACCTTTTAAATTAGAACACTAAAAATGTTTGATGCTACAGAAATAGAAATTAATTACTTCCCTCTTGTATCTTTAAAACTAAATTTCAACTCCTGGATAATATTGCTTCTCCTAAATTTTTCAATTTTGTATTTGTACCATGTTGTGACTTATGCTCTAGTAACATTATGTAAACTTGGTATTGTTTCTCTTCAAGTGAATTGTGATACTGATTGTAATTGATGCCATTTTTCCTATCATATTTCTTCCAGATTACCTTATTAATATTTGTGTCTAGTAAAACTTGATGGTAAAAGTCACTGTTATCCTCATTAGGCATATATTTTCCAATACATTACAGTGATGTGTAAGGTGCACTGCAAAAATGTTAAATTTTTGTTTTCTAACATGTCAATTTGCAAAAAATATACATATTTGGCACAATAGTGAAAGGAACCTATTTCTTTCTGAATCCAAATTTGTCTTCTGCTTTACAAACTTCATTTGTAAATTAAGATTTCAATAAATGGTGTCATCTGCATTCAAATGTTGTCTTCTTTTAAATTTTCTTTTAGAAACACTTTGCTTAGTGTTGCAAACATCCCTAATTCAAGTATGTTTAAGGCAAGCAAATAATGATAGTGTTAACTCTTTGAGTGCTTAAAAGCATAAGCCATAACCCCACCTTCCCAACTGCCCAGTCATTTAAAACATGGTCAAGCAAGTTTTATGATACTACTTTAATCTTGAGGACTTGACTGTTCAACCTAGTTGTATGTGAACAAAGCCTTATAACCTCATGAATTCTGAGAAACATAAACTTCCATCACATCCCAGGATTCTGTCATGCATGGGTCTCCAGCTATAACTTTGCTAAAGGTCTCTCTTCCCATTTCACCAAACTTGAAATAATCCTATTGGTGCTTTCTGCGTGTAAATGGGCTGCCTTCCTCTTTGGGGCAACTCCAAGCACTTCAGAGTCCCACTATGTTTAACAAAACTCTAGAAGAGCACTATTTATCCCTTTCCAGTAAATGGTTGTTGAGCAAATATTGATATGTTTAATGAATATATTTATAAGTTAAACTATATGTGTATATACTAATATGTATTAAAGTTTATTCCAACCATATTGTGTTCATGAGACAGAAAATGATGAATAAGGGCAAACCAAAATAGCTATTGTTCTTACCTAAGTTCCAATTCTAATTCAAGAGTTTGAGTTATCTTTATGATTTAAAAAGTTAAACATTTTGTATGGGATAAAATTATTCCAACCAATGAATGATGAACAACAGTATCTTGATGGCAATGTTTCATTGAGAAGGAGAAAATTAATGAAGAGAACTTAAGAAAAGAGAGCTATGGCATTTATTCATTTTATTCAACATACAATTGAGCACCAAACATGAGGCAGGTACTATACCAGGCACTAGGGAATATAATTATGAGAAAAAGAAACCCATTCATAGATTCCTAGAGCTTACAATGTAGTTGAATAAACAGTGTAAATGATTAGGATGGTCATGTAAGGCCATTCTGATAGTAACTGGTAATCACTTTGCTCCATTTCTTATAAGAAATAACATTACAACTAAGTATGAATAAACTATGCAGACAGACAAAAAGGTGTGCTTAGGTTCTTGTTGTGTAACCATAATGTAAAATAGCTTTGGACAAATATTGAGTAGTCTCTATTATTACAAGAATTTTGGAAGAATATTCTCCCTCTAAAATATAGCAAAATCCTAAGGTATGGCATCTAATAACAACACAACTCCAGCAAAGAACTCAAGTCACATTTGTTGCTTCTCTCTAACTTGTTGATAAGACATTTATCTTGATTGCAGTTGACTCTCGGATTTGATATGCATCAAAATCTCCAGGAGAACTAGCTAAAAAGACAAATTTAGTTGGGGGAGTGGGCAGCAATAGCTCAGTGGGGGAGCACATGCTTAACAGGCAGGGGGTCCTGGGTTCAATCCCCAATACTTCCATTAAAAAATAAATAAAAATATTTTTTAAAAGACAAATTCTGAGGCCAGATCTTGATACTAAATGAGAATCTCTAGGGATGGGGTACAAGAATCTATATATTTTTGTTTATTTTGAAACAATCACATACTTAGAAAAAATAGTATAAGTATAGTAAAGAACATTTTTATTTCTGGACCATTTAAGAGTAAGTTGCTAACATGATGCACCACCACTTCTGACTAATTTAGTGTTTCCTATAAATAAGGACATTCACCTATAATCACAATACAACCATCAAAATCAGTGAATTACTGGGGCCTCTTCAAGTTTCTCCAAATGTCCCAATAATGTCCTTTATGACAGAGGGTCAAGTTTACAATCACATGTTGCATTTAGATGCCAGAATACTTTAGTCTTCTTCAACCTGGATTAGTTACTTAGTCTTTTCTTTAGTTTCAAGACTTTGACTCTTTTGAAGATTACAAGAGTTTTTTTTTAATGTCTTTATATGTGAGTTCATTTTTCCTCATAATTAGATTCAGGCCATGCATCTTCAGCAGGTATATCACAAGATGTTGTATACATCTCATTGCATCCTATCAGATGACACACAAATTTGATTTGCCTCATTTAAGTATTGTTCCTCATCAAACTTTTTTCCACTTACATATTTATACCTGTAAGGATAGCTTCTGATTTTAATAAATGATTTATAATCCATTATTATCATTATTTATTGTTATGCACAAAATATCCTTCATTTAGTCAGTGAGATCCCCTTAAGAGTTGATTTCTTATCTTTTCAGCATTTCTCCATCATTCTTTTGTACTTTTTAGATCTCTGGTTTAAGATGTTCCAGGATCCTTTAGTATTTTTTTCTGCCCCAAGCCTAGAATCAGCCATTTCTCCAAGGAATTCTTATTCTTTTTGGAGATCGGTATTTAGAGGCCAAGATCTAGGTGTTAAGTGAGCTCATTAATATAAGGGTGTGGCTGCTTTTAGTATAGCAAGCTAAGGAATAGATATTAGATAGATAGGTAGATACATACATACATACATACATACACACATACATACATACATACATACATATGCAAACATTTCTATACCTATCAACACATATTGAAAACCATGAGTTCTTATCAATATCTCCAATTCCAATTCAAAACCATTAGAATGAACAGTTTTCATTCTAATTTTCCCCCTTTCCACATTTGTAATGTTCTTCTCTGACCGTGAGAAACCTGGCTTTAATTATACTTAATATACTTATTTACTTGATTAAGTAACCAGTATCCCATTTATACATCCACATCCTTCACCCTTGCAGATACTGTCTTCTTCCTGTTCCCACTCTGAGTCTCCATTCTGAGACAAACATAACCCTCCTTCACCCATATGGATGTCTTCCTCATCCTACTCGAGCTCTGACTTCCTGTGCCAGGCCTCTCTTCTGTAGAGATGCTTTCGTCTCTTTGCTGAGGGTCTGAATGAATACCTGTATCAGGCTATTTTCCATGTGGATACCTTCTTCATCCTACTTGGGCTGACACATCTCACCAAACTGCCCTTCAGCAAGGATGCTCTTCTTACTCAGCTTGGTCTTACTCCTTTGCCAGCCAATTTTAATGTAGGGATGCCTTCCTTACCCTGATTTGGTTGTGACACTCCACAGCAGGCTACTGCTCTGAGAGGATGTGCTCCTCACTGTGCTTAGGTTCTAACTCCCCACACTCCCCACACTGGGCCACTATTCCTCCTATGGACATCCTCCTCTTTATGCTTGGCCCACAACGTCTTGCTGTGGATCATTAGCCCCCTATCATTGACATCATGGATATCTAGCTTACCTTGTTCTGCCCACTCAATGGCTTTAGGACTGAATTGCTCAGAAATAAATGGAAAGGAAGGGGCAGGAAAGAAAGATATATTTGTCTGGGTGCTCTGAGAATTAGATGCCAAGATATGGATAAACATACAATGATTTTATTAGAGGACACACTTGTAAGAGAAAATAGGAAGAGAACTGGGAAAGACTGGGAGAGCCATCAGGCCTCAAGTTAAAAAGAAAGGGAAAGAAAGTTGGGTGGACACATTCTAGACCACCTTGCAGTCTAAGGAGGTTTAATCAAGACCGTTGTGAAGTCCACAAGCCCAAATCATCTGTCAGAGGGATCCTATGTGTCTTAAGAATGTGCCTGCCTTAATTTCCCTGCTATGTTCAGTCACATGTCAAGAGTAGTCCATGGGAGGCATGGTCTCAGTCCAAATGTAACAGTGGATTTTAGAGTGCTTCAGCTGGGGCCCTTGGTCAACTATACTTTCTGTAGTTGGAGATCTGAAAGGGGAATGTTTCAAGGCCTCCACAGAAGGAGAGTGAGGGATGGAAGAAAAGATAGGGGAAGTGTACCCAACAGAGCATCTGGAGGTCATTGTGCTTTTTGTTGAATATTATGAAAAACAGCAGAGGGAAAAAAATTAAGCATCACAAAATTCTCCTAACTTCCCTTGTGTGTTGAAAGAAGACTTCCATTATTCCAATTTAGCGTGGAAAATCGAATTTAAATTCATAGAAAATCAATGTTCAGCAGAAACAGATACTGAATACAGAACAACATAATGTAGTATAAAATGCACTGAACAAAGATCTGGAGACACTGATATTTGTGCCAATTCTGTCACCCCAAAAGTTGTGTGGCCTTAATAAAGTCACTCTGCTACTCAGTTTACCCACCCCAAGCACTTCCACAGTCCAGAGTTTCACATTAAGACACTTCAAGGGGGAGGGTATAGCTCAAGTGGCAGAGTGCATGCTTAGCATACACAAGGTCCTGGGTTCAATCCCCAGTACCTCCTCTAAAAAAATAAACAAATAAGTAAACCTAATTACCTCCTCCCCACAAAAATTAAATTTAAAAAAAGACACGTCAGAAAGAATTGCTTAGGGCATATTTCCTCAAAAAAGCAATATAAGCATTGTAAGAATGTAGGACTTCAATCTAACATATTCTACTCTTTGCCTGTCTAACACAAAACACCCTAATTTTTAGAGATGCACATCCAGAGAGATCTGTAATGTTCTCTGAATACATTCCCAAAAGAACTAATCATTTTTCTAATGAAGAACAAACCAAATTCACATCTAACTATTGCACCCAAATGTCAACAGTGAGCCTACTTCTAACACTGCTTGCCGTACTCATATACTCCATGATCTTCAGGTGATACAATTTATTGTACTCATTTATACTCCAGTTTTACCAGGATTTTATCCAGTTGTTGTTTATCACAATTCTACATTCTAAATAGTAAATGAAACCACCGCCAATACACAGTACATATATGACAGTAAAGTAAATCCTTAACCACCTAGCCAAGTGGTTAGCCATCTAACCCAAATTAGTTTAAACCCCGACCTCAGACAATGCTTCATTCCAGGACTGGTGAACTATAAGATGTACAGTTAAAAGTTCTACCTACTATAAGAATATCCTCCTTCATTACCATTCAAGGCCACTTCTTGAAAGGCTGTAACACTGCAACACTCCATTTCCAGCAAGGGCCAGCATATCAGAAAGAGCCATCTGTAAACCAAGAAAGAGCCTTTTCATTGTTAGTCAATTGGTTACAGGGAAGTCCTTACTAAGCTATAGATGCTATATGAAAAAGAAGGCATAACAACACAATAGGCTTATACTCACTGGAATTAATGTAAATCTAGTACCTCACACATCTGATAAAGGACTGTTATCAAAAATATACAAAGAACTCTTGACATGCAACAATAGGACAATGAACAACCTGATTTACAAATGAGCAAAAGACCTGAACAGATGCTTCACCAAAGAAAATATACAGGGGCAATGAGGCATATGAAAAGACACTCAGCATCAAGTGTCATTAGGGGAACTTCAAATTAAAACAACAATGGAATATCACTGCACACCTATTAGAAGAGCCAAAATTTAAAACGTTGATAACACCAAATGCTGGCAAGGATGTGAAGCAACAGGAATTCTCATTCATCAAAGGTAGGAATACAAAATAGTACAGCCATTTTGGAAGACAGTTTGCCATTGTATAACAAAAGTAAACACTCATCCTTCAATCAATCACAGTCCTTGGTATTTATCCAAAGGAATTAAAAACTTAATGTCCATGCAAAAACCTACATGCAGATGTTTATAGAAGCTTTATTCATAATTGACAAGTCCTGGAAGTAACTAGGATGTCCCTCAGTAGGTGAACGGATAAACAGTGGTACCTGGAGTGGTAATGGAATATTGTTTGGCACTCAAAAAAACGAGTTGTCAGGCTTAAAAAAAAAGGATAAACCTTAAATTACTAAGTGAAAGAAGCAATCTGAAAAAGCTTCATACTGTATGATTCCAACTTATATGGCATTCTGGGAAAAGCAAAACAATGGAGACAGTAAAAAGATCAGTGCTTGCCAGGGTTTTTTTTTTTAAGACGGGGTTGGGGAGGATAAATAGATCAAGCACAGAGAATTTCTAGGGCAGTGGAACTATTCTCTGATACTATAGTGGCAGCTATATGTTATCATACATTCATCTAAATTTACACAATGTACAACACTAAGAGTTAACTGTGTGTATACTATGGACTTTGGGTGACAATCACATGTCAATATAGGTTCATTGATTGTAATAAATGTATCATTCTGGTAAAGAACGCTGACCATCAGGGAGATTTGTTGGGGCATAAAGAGTATGTGGGAATTCTCAGCACTTCTCACTTGATTTGACAGTGAACCTAAAACTGCTTTTAAAAGTAAAGTCTATTTTTAAAATCTCACTCAGTATCTCAACTTTGCCCTTTCTCTCTCTGAGATAGCGTTATGTTTCTACTGACATATTACTATCCCTCATCTTGGTGAGCAATAAACTCAGCCTTGTTTTATCAACTGGTTGTTTTGTCAATATTTGGAGGAGTTAGCATTGCTACAGCTTTAGAGGTCTCACTGAGATCCACTCAAGACCTCTTCACCAAAGTGGCCCAAAACCCTCAACTTGTAAACAACGTGCTTCTCCAAATCCCATTGCATCTCTTGCTTGGAGGCTTAATGACCTTAAGAAAAGGATTAGATAGCGTGACCAAGTGGGATTTATCCTTAGCATGCAAGGATGGTGGTTCAAAATATGCAAATCAATCAATATGATTTGTGTTGTGCTCTCTTAGTAATGCTGAAAGCATTAGTCATATGTGGTTTTATTTGCAACCTTAGCTGATCTTATTGCTTTGCTGGAGGGTATATGGAAACCTTTAGATTCAGGTGACCTTCAATATTCTAGCCCAATGATTCTTTTCAAGTTTATGTCTGAGCTCACAATATAATTAACTAATCAATTAACTAATCTCTTCTGTGTAATACATATTCAGTGATGGACCAAACAAGGTTGTAGAACATTTCTCTCTTACACAAATTGCACATATTTCATGAAAAACCTACAGCTGGTATAGTATTCAATGGTAAAAAACCCAAAAACTTCCCACTAAAATCTGGGACAAGACAAGGATGCCCACTATCACTACTCCTATTCAACATAGTCTTGGAAGTCCTAGCCACAGTAGTCAGGCAAGAGAAAGAAATAAAAGGGATCCAAATTGGAAAAGAAGAGGCAAAAGTGTCACTATATGCTGATGACATGATACTATATATAGAAAACCCTAAAAGGTCCACAAAAACTACTAGAACTAATCGAAGAACTCAGCAAGGTAGCAGGTTACAAGATTAACATTAAAAAAACAGTTGCATTTCTTTACACTAACGATGAATCAATAGAAAAAGAAAGTAAAGAAACAATCCCCTTTAAAATAGCACCCAAAGTAATAAAATATCTGGGAATAAATCTAACCAAGGAGGTGAAAGAATTATACACAGAAAACTATAAACCATTGATGAAGGAAATTAAAGAAGACTTTAAAAGATGGAAAGATATTCCATGCTCCTGGATTGGAAGAATCAATATTGTTAAAATGATCATACTGCCCAAGGCAATCTACAGATGTAATGCAATCCCTATCAAATTACCCAGGACATATTTCACAGAACTAGAACAAATCATAATAAAATTTATATTTAACCATCAAAGACCTAGAATTGCTAAAGCATTACTGAAGAGAAAGAAAGAGGCTGAAGGAATAACTCTCCCAGACTTCAGACAATACTATAGAGCTACAGTCATCAAGACAGCATGGTATTGGTACCAAAACAGACATATATTCCAATGGAACAGAATCTAGAGCCCAGAAATGAACCCACAAACTTTTGGTCAACTCATCTTCGACAAAGGAGGCAAGAAAACACAATGGAATAAGGACAGTCTCTTCAGCAAATGGTGTTGGGAAAAGTGGACAGCAGCATGTAAATCAATGAAGCTAGAACACTCTCTTACATCATACACAAAAATAATCTCAAAATGGATCAAGACTTAAACATAAGACAAGATACAATAAACCTCCTAGAGAAAAACAAAGGCAAAACATTATCTGACATACATTTCAAAAATTTTCTCCTAGAAGAAACAAAAGCAAGAATAAACAAATGGGACCTAATGAAACTTACAAGCTTCTGCACAGCAAAGGAAACCGGAAGTAAAACAAGAAGAAAACCTAC